AAAATGGCCCCTGGTGCCAAAAAGGTTGGGGACCTCTGTTTACACAGAATGAAAACACTAAAGACCAGCAACCTTGTAGGTGGAAGATAAATATTAGTGAACGAAGCATTAAAATGATTCCCTTACTAGCTATTTAAGAGCTCTGACTTGCTAGGAATTCTGAGAGGGTAAGACAGGACTCCATATACATGGTCAGTTCTTGTGCTTGGGAGTTTGCAATAATGTGAAACGCAGGCATTATTGCAAACATCACTCATGTTAATACCAGCAGTTATAGCCTATATCTTGACACGTGCTATACTCTGCCTCTCCTGTTATGGGGGCCCTACGTACATGCACCCCTCAAGTTTCTATACTACCCAAAAGTCAGTGGACTTTTGATAATGAATATAAATTGCCAGCCCACTCACCACCCCCAAATGGAGATATTTATCTGTTTTTTTATGCCCAAGTTGAGTTCTGTTATCCACATTGTTCTTCTGGTAACCACAAGGTAAGGCAATTCTTAAGAGATATTTTAACAAGGTTTCCTATGAGTCATTTCAATAAGTTCTTTAAAAGAAATGGTGTGTATTTTATTTTTTCAGGAAGTAAATGATGGCATTTGTGCTATTATAAATCATGATGGATTTCCATATTCTCCACCATAAAGAATCTTTTTTTTTTTTTCCTCTTAGAAAGGAAAATTAAGGTTGCTGTACCATGGGATCACTTTCATTATCTTTAGCATACAAATGATCTTTTAAAAAGATTTTTTTCCCTCTACATATGTACAGTATCAATGATATAATTTACATTGCATCCTTCATATTAACACTCTGATCCATCATCGCTAACAATGCAAGGGCTTTGTGAGAGGGGCTGTCGGACAAATGTTTTAGCTTGTGAGAAGAAAATTGTTAGCATTTGAATAGAGAAGGGTGCAGGAAGGATTAATAGCCTACTTTGATGGATTAGAATGTAGGGAAATTGCTCAATATTAATATGAAAATGTTTGTGAATTAGTTGCAAGGTGCTGTCAATGGAAAATGATTACGTCTCCAAGGCTTATCAGGTGAGACTTGAGTCTTAGCAAAGACCTACACACAAAGGATTGAGGAGGGGTGTGGAAGATCGCTGGGTCCTAGGGCCAGCACACAAACCCGCCATCAACCGTTAAGAGTCCTGGAGTCACTTTGGGTGTCCTTTCAGTTAGATTGTACGCATCTTCATGTTAACATATCTGAATACAGATTTATAACAAAAGAGACAGGGAGTGTGCACCATGAGTTATTATTTCTATAATTTAACCTTTCTATCTTTTAAAGCTCAGTCAGAAACAAGCAGGGCATTGTTGCATACATAACTGTGCTCCCCTTAACTGATTTCTTTTTTTTTTTTTCTGTCTGTACACAATGGTTTCCAAGATGGTAATTTTCCAGGAGGGGCCACTGTTTATAAACCATGATATGCAAGTAGTTGTTTAATACTGTTGCCCACAAACTCAAGTCAGAGCAAGCTAATCTGAGAATGATGCCTGAAAGATTTCTGTGGATATGAAAAAGTTACACTTGCAAAATTTAACTTTTTTAAAAAAAAGAGAGAGAGAAAGAAGTGAGGCCAGTTGCAGTGGCTCATGCCTGTAATCCTAGCACTCTGGGAGGCCGAGGCGGGCGGATTGCTCAAGGTCCGGGGTTTGAAACCAGCCTGAGCAAGAGCAAGACATCGTCTCTACCAAAAACAGAAAGAAATTCATTGGCCAACTAAAAATATATAGAAAAAAATTAGCCGGGCATGGTGGCGCATGCCTGTAGTCCCAGCTACTCAGGAGGCTGAGCCAGAAGGATTGCTTGAGCCCAGGATTCTGAGATTCCTGTGAGCTAGGCTGAGGCCACGGCACTCACTCTAGCCCGGGCAACACAGAGCGAGACTCTGTCTCAAAACAAAACAAAAAATAGCCCACTTTAAAAAAGCAACAAAATACAGAGGAAATGGAAAAAATTGAGATCAGAAGACCCAGCTGGTAACCCCTGCTCTGTCCTCTCGTGACTGTGATTAGAGTCCTTCAGCGATGCTGTCCCTCTGTCCCTCTGTCCCTCTGTCTCCTCACTGTAAATTGAGATGATATAACACGTGTCATACATTAGCCTGTGTCTCAGAGAGGGTATAGGAAAGTGCTTTGCAAGGAGATGCTGCATGTAAAAGACATTTGCATACCATACATGTTGATTTTTCACAAAGTTCATTTCATTTCTTAACATTTTAAGGCCAACCTGCAGTACTATCGCCTGATTTCCTCACAGAGGTACGTTTCTGTAACTCATCTTTCTGTACTTGTCAAAGAAATAAAAGATTTTTCTTTCCTTAAACGAAGCCTGCATACAATTCGATGTGTGTAAGTGGATGTACGGTCAGGGCTTTGGGTTGCAAACATAGACGTGGACTCTAGTACCTTGAATCGAAAGGAGGGACTTAATCAAAGTCTATCAGAGTGAATAGGATTGATATTCAGAATGGTTAGTAACTGCTATCGCCTGGCAGTGTGTGGTCAGGAGGGGTTGGGCAGGTGCCTGGTGGCCCCTGCTTTTCTGGGGGTTAATCCTTAGGTTTCTGGATGGTGGGAAAGCTGGGCAGGTTCACAGGGAGGGGCCTCAGCCAGGGCAGTGGCAGGTGCAGCTGGGAGCAGGGGACAGTGGTGGGAACTGAAGGACTTCAACGTTTGAACCACTGGCCTGGGCTCGCGAATGCAGACCCGCTGAACATCAGCCTTGGCTGGGGAGAGGCCAGAGAACCAGGCTGGAGAAACATCCAGAAGCCCATACAGGGGGATGCTACCTCCGCCATCTTGTACGAGCCCTTCCGTGGAGGACCCTGGCACAGATTCTAACACCACCGCCGTGAGTAAATTGCCAGCTGTGCCCTCATGGCGGTGGCATTCATTCAGGATGCAAAGTCCTGGGCGGGAACATCAGGCTGGCCAAGGCTCCCCGCCTGACATGGACTGAGCATGTGGCAGGTGGCACGAGGCCAGCCCTACTTCCTCCTGCGACAGAGTCAATGGAAATCTCCTTCGAGAAGAAAAGGGATTTGGATGTGGGTACCCAGTGTCTGCTAGACGGAGAGTTTGAGCTGGAGACCAAGATGCTTTCTGTAAGGTGCTTCCTAAATTGTTTCTCCTTCTCTCCTTCATGTAGTGACTAACCCTGTGAAGAACCCCTCATCATCGTTATCACAAAAAAACCTTTCACCACTGTGAGGCGATCCGCAATATGTTGCCCAGCTAAAGGTCACCTTGGATTTTTATCTTGGCTGCCATGCTTTTCTTCTCATTAAAATATTTGACAAGAATTCTTTGCATGGATGAACAGCTCCACGCACCCTGGCCCCACACTGCTCTCCCAAAGATGTTGCATTGTCATAGTAAATAATCGTGCTGCCAGTCGGAAATCAATATCTGTGTTAGACACACATTAACACAGAAATCTGGTGTTCTTACAGTTATAATGCTTCCCGGAAGATGCTGTGTGATTTCTTGGTGAAAATACGTACATTTTCTTCCCTTTAGGTTGTTTAGAGTGGCTGAGAAAAAATAAGGTTTATATCTTTATTCATCTTTGCATCTTTCTTGCACCTGTCATAGAGTTTTGATCATAGTTGATGGCTGAAAAAGATGCTTATTGAATCGGGCAGTGAGGTTAGAGTTGCAAGTATATGAATATGGCCTAAGTATAAGAAGTTGTATACTGGAGGAAGTCAAGTGTAGGGGTTAGTGTTTCAGGTAGAATGACCAACTGTCCTGTTTTGCCTGGGACCGAGGGGGTAGCCAGGACACAGACTTCCTGAGCTAAAACCAAGAAAGTCACAGGCTTGGGCAGGAGACATCTGAATCCTGGTTCTACTTCATATCAATGCTGTGACTAAGTTTTCTATTTGCTACGTGAATAATAACACATTTGTTATTAGGCTTTGGAAATAAATATGTTCCTGTGTATACAGTACTTAGGACAGTCTTGGACCATAGTACATACTTGGTGAATGTCAACACATAGTAAATTCTTATAATAATGCCTGAATATAATGTCTCCTCCCAGAGCCCAAAGGGTATTCTTCTTAGCGCTTGTAAGTCTCTGCAAAATACTGTATGTTGTAACGTTTAAACAGCAGAGAGTTGGTTCCAAAATTATATGATTTTGAAATAGAACAAACCAGCCTTTGCAGACATTGGCAAATAACAAGTCATACTGGAAATCCCTTTGTATGATCACAGCATATCGCAACGTGACGTGGAGCCAGAAGATTTGCAGGTGTCAGGAAAGTAGCTTGAGATGAGCAACGTGATTCCACTTTCTCGATGACTGTCGTACTATCCGACTGGCTCTCGTCACACACTCGCTTCCCGACACAATGCCGGTTGTTTTGGGACTGGGAGCTTGAGATTTCCCGAAATTATCCAGGGGAAAAGAAGAGGAGGAGGGAGCAATGAGCAGGAAAAGCCTCTTCTACCTAAACAAATCCTGTTGAAATGTCACTGTAGCTCTGATCTCTTTGATTTTCCCTCTCTCGGATGGAAACGTTCCTGATCCCAGATTTCATGGAGAAGCTTAAATCAGGGTGTAAATATTTTGCCATCGCTAGGACCGGATTTCTTCATCTAAGTATCCAGAAGTCTTCAGCCCACATGAGAAAGAACACAGAGGCCTTATCATCGTACGCTCAAACCAGCGCCTGTGCTAAAAAGCTAAACCAAGGTGGAATAACTGGGGTCTGCAAAACCAAGACTCGCTGGCTTCATGAGCCAACGTCCCCACGAGCCAGCTCGGCCACTTGCTGTCTGCCTGGCCTTGCTTGTAACTGGGTTTCAGCTACGTGAGCTTAGATCATTGGGATGAAAAGAGGAAATGATCAATAATGCGGGTGTTTTGTCTATGCTGTCAAATATCTGGGTGTCGGGGAACGTCTGTATGTGCGGCTGAGTTCTGACTTTTTGGTACCGAGGTGAGAATGTTTTTCTTTCTCCTTAGACTGTGAGATCCGCTCAGAGTGAGTTAAACACCGAGAACTGCAAGGCGGCTGCATGCTTTCTTGTTTCCTCTTGCTTTGTGGAATAAAGAATCAAAGCAGCAACATGAAACAAGTAAATATAAAACTTTAATTAAAAAGAGGTTAAAAAGACAGGATACGACTGGGGTCAGTAAGAATTACCTGTACTGGTGTTTCCAAGGGTAGAACACGTGCCCCTGGGGGGAGATGAAATGATGAGATGGCACCTTAAATACCAGAGGCTGCTGCAGCGATGATCTGATTCTCTTTTCTAGTTTCTGCAATCCTTCTGCTGACATCCGGGAGAAAGTCTCATCTAGATGCTGCTCTGCCCTTAAACCCTCTCCAATACTTGCAAACCTGCCTTGTTGGCGAGCACCCGTGGCCTACAGCTCAGAGTCTTTAGTAGATAACAGAATCTAGTGTGAATCTCATAACATGTCTTTGCTTTTTCAAAATTTATTTTTAATGATTGCCTTCTTTTTCATTTATTGCAATGCGTAAGATTGTTGACTTTTTAAATAAAAGTGTACCTACTTAAAGACAGCGATGAAGTCATTGGAGCCCAGGTGAGTGCAAGGGTATGTCAAAAGCCATGACAGGAACACACAAACAGCCCAATTTTAGGGACCACTATGAAGGGACAGGACAATCTATCCCTCCAACAAATATTTGGTGTCTACCACTTTGTGCTGAGCCTTGTGGATCTGGGGCAGATTCCTTGGCCTCAAGGAGTGGTAGGGAAGATGGATAAGAAACAAGTGAATAAGTATATATTTAATAAAATGATGTCGGAAGTAAAATGAAGAAAAATGAAACAAGCTAAGGAATTAGAGAGTGACAGGCAATCGTCTGTTTTTGACAGAGTGGTCAGGCAGGACCCTCTGAGAAGATGCCATCTGAGCAAAGGCTAGATGAATAGAGGTGTGGGCTAGAGTCTATCTGGAGGAAAAGCATTTCAGGAAGATGGAACAGCCAGCGCAAAGTCCTGAGGCAAGAGCATGCCTGGGGTTGTTAAGGAATAAGAAAGAGGCCGGTGTGGGCTGCAGCAGAGGGGACAAGGGACATGGCATGGGGTGGAACTGGAGAGCTGGGCAGGAAGTGGGTCATGTAGGGCTTTGTTGACCAAGGTAATAATTTTATCTGTAGTGAGATGGGAGCCATTGGAATGTTCTGAGCAGATAAGAATGTGATCTTATTTATATTCTTAAAGGTCACTCTGGACACTGGAGAAGAGGCTGGGGAAGGGTGTGGCACAGTGGAAGCAGAGACACCTGAGGAGGCTCCTGCAGGCTGCTCCCAGCTGTGGTCTGGCCCAGGAGGTGGTGTTGAGAAGATTAAACCCCAGGAAGAATCAGGGACCTTTACTGACGATTTCTAAAGGATGAATAAAACCTGTATAAAACCAGCACTGGTTTGTAAAAACGTGTATATTAGCAACAGACAAGATGATAATTCTTGTCATGTGGAAGGTTCTAGAATATGGCCTTGTTTCTATGTAGGACCCTTTCTACAGGAGATTCTGTGAGTGCATCATCCTCAGAAAGATATGATAGCATCAGAGAAGGTTCATTGCAGAGGGCAAGCGAGTGAGGGGAGAGCACAGACCAGGGAGAGTGTCGTCTAAAGAGACCATAATCTAAATCTTCCAACTATGCAAATAAAGGTGAACACAAACTTGCTGACAAAATCCTGAGAAGATACCATCTGAGGTTGCATGATGTCGACAAGCGTGCTGGTTCTCAAATTTTACTACATGCTAGAATCACCCAGGTGGCTTTAAAAAATTATTGCCTGGCCATTGCCCAGGCCACACCCTAGACCAATTAAATCAGACTCTTGAGGCGAAGTCCCGGCAAGGGTGACAGTAACGTTCCGCAGGTGATTGCTAAATGCAGCCAAGATTCTGATTCATCCAGTCTGTGGTGGGGCCCAAGCTGCTGCCCAAGCTAGGCTGATGCTGCCAGTCCAAGGACCTCGACTTTGAGTAGCAAAAGCATGAAAAAGAGAGACTAGAACTTGAAAGTAAAGAAATTGCCATGTGAGTATTTCCCTGGCATTTGCTAGCTGCAGGTTGATCAACCATTCTAGTTTTCTGAGACTCTCCTGATTGTGGCATTAAAGGGTCCATGTCCTGGCCAAACCCGGGATAGTTGGTCACCCTATGTGTGATCCAGGAGATCAGATAAAGTCTCTGAGCCTGGTAAAGTTGTCATGTGAATGAGATAATGTGTGTTCAAATGTCTAATAAGGTAACCTAGCACACAGTGGGAGTCCAAAAGTGCTTGATCATTGAATTTCGAGATAACGGTTTGCAAGTTAAAGCACAGTGAGCTACCAGTTCACATCCGCCAGAATGGCTAGTGTGAAGAAGACTGAAAATACCAATGTTGTCAAGGATGTGATGCAAGTGGAACTTTCATGCAAAATTAGTAGAACTGCTTAGAAAAACTGTTTGGCAGTAGCTACTCACCCCAAGCATCCCCTGTGGCCCAGCAATTTCTATCCTAGACATACACCCAAGCGAAATGCATATATGTTCACCAAAGACATGTTCACCAAGACAGCTGCTTTATTTAAAATAGTAAGACTTTGGGAGCAACTCAAAACCCCACTAGTTAACTGGATATAGAAATCATAGTTTATTCATAAAATGGAACATAGCAATAAACAATTGCTACACACAACGATATGAATGAATCTTACAAACATAATCATGAGTGAAAGAAATCAGATACAAAAGATATACTGCAGAAAACAGCCCAACCTTCTGTGTGGTGTTAGAAGTATAGGCAGTGGTTCCTATGGGAACTACTGACTTTCTATGATGTTCTTTTTGTTCCAGGCATTGGTTACACCAGGGTGTTCACTTTGTGAAAATTCATCTAACTGTACAATGCTATCTGTGCACGTTTCTATATAAATGGTATACTTTAATAAAAAGTTTTTTTAAAGACAAAAATGTAGAAAAACCAATATAGGAAATGTGTTAGTCTTAGATGACAGTAGCTGGAAGCTCCAATGGATCCCAAAAGGTTTTAGAAACTTTGCAAATGAGATTTTTTTAATGGCTTCTAAGAGACTGGATATACTAAGCATTTAAATAACTATCCTTTGAATAGTTTCCAGGGAGGTCTCATCTCAAATATACAGTGCACAGAACTATCTGGGAGTCTAACTAGGGTTACAGTCACTCTGTCCCACACCCCTAGTTAGGTCTTCAATAGAGGGAAACTTCTCTCCTCATCTCTGCAAAGAAAGCCCAAATCTTACCAAGGGCGGAGAAAAATTATTAGGAGATTTGCATAAAATTCTCTAAAAGAAACTGTCAATAATCTACCTTCCGTCTGGTCACACCGCTTGGGAACTTCAATCCATTCGCTGCTAGAATCACCATAGACCCTCTTAATCTACTTTCTTAAATCAATCTTTTCAGCTCCATCTGCCAGTTATTATGATTTTCTGATGACATAGATATACCAAGCAAACCGAGTTCCAAAATGATCAGCTTGCCATGTTAAAATGGAATTTTCAGGCTGAAATCAGAAGCCATTTAAATCTTCAACGAGCTCTGATTGTGGCTGTTGATTCAGAAAACCAAGCCTTCCCTGAGACTAGTGGTGTTCCTTATAGATGTTTTGCTTGAATGAAGGAAGCCTCTTCAGAGGACTCCTATACAATATCAGATGCAATGGAAACTTCAGGAATCTGAAAATGTCTTGGTCTCATCACTTTGGTAGAAAAGATGATGATGTGCCAAAGGTACATCTCAGGTGCATCTTCCCCTTCATGGAGAAACAAAACAGCCCGCTAGGAATGTTTGCTCTGGGAGAATTCCACGGGAAGTTTACAATGCACTTGTTTCTTCAACCGGTGGACTGATATGTAATCATCATCATCACCATCATCATCACTACCACAGCTGTAGCCATTTTATTGTTGACATAGCAGCCACCATCATCCTTGCATAAAATAAGTCCTATCAGTTCACCCCTCCTCCCATGTGCCTCACAGTAAAATCAGAAGTCTTCAGGGGCCTCCCCCAGGTCCTTTCTGATCTGGCCTTGTCTTATCTCACTAATGTCATCTCTTGTCCTCCCTAGTTTACTTGGCTCCAGCTACCCTGGTCCCTTGCGGCTCCTGGAATACTGTAGGTGTGCTTCCACCTAAGGACCAGGTCCTGCTGACCCCTCTGCTTAGAATGCCCATCCTTTCCCTGCCCTGTTGGCTAACTCACTCCACCCCTTTAAATCTTTGCTTAAATGTCACCATTTTAATGAGTCATTCTCTGACTGCCCTATGTCCCCCTGCTGCCACTCTAATCCCCTCTACCCTGACCTACTTTCTTTTTCCATACTGTTTTCACTTAAAATGCCATATGATTTTTTGTTATTTTGTTTACTGTTTATTATTTTTCTCCCCACACTAGAATGTCAGCTCTACAAAGTGAAAGGATTTTGTTGTTATTGCCCCATTTTGTTCACTGATGTGTCCCAAGTACCTAACACAGAGTTGGCATAGTAGGTGCTCAACAACGCTTTGTTGAATGTTGAATGGCTGAAATTTGGGGGGCTTATATGCACTGTGGTTATGCTAAGTGGTTTACATGTACAGATATATCACCTGACAATCCTCGAGAAAGATAATATTATTAACCACATTTGCAAGTTAAGAAACTGAAGCAGAGAGAGGTGGATTAACCTGCTGAGGGTCACACAGCTAGTCAATAATGAAGCCAGGGTTCAAACTCAAGCAGTAAGATCTTAGAACACTAGTTCTTGACCACATGAACTAAATTTAAACAAGCAATGCCAAGAAGAGTTTATATACTCAACAAGCACATGCTGCTTATGATAGATATCAGTTTGTTGTTTCTACATTCATTCTTTTCCTGGTAATTGCACCCGTGTTTCCCTCTAGGGAATCATTCCTTCCTCCACTTTCCATGTGTGGGCTTCTTGTACACTGGACTCCATTCCTGAGCCAAGTAAAGCATGTGATGAGAGAAAGCCAATCAGCAGCTGGCATTCCACTGGCCTTGGTGATTGGCTCAGAAATGGGCATGTGACCCAGTCAGAGCTGAGAATGCTGGGACAAAATGGCTTCAGTTCTCCTATTGGACATGGAGGAGGATAAACTGTTAAGCATAATCCTGGGAGCCTGCAGGGGTGACTCTGCCTGAGAATAGAGCCGACACAAGTAAGTGGACACAATAAATGGTGTGAGAGGCCCTGTGTCCTGCCCACTAGGCTTGTCTGAAGCCTCAAGGTACTCTCCTCTATAATGGGTGGGTAATGGCTTCCCTGTGTGGTTAAGGGCCTAAGAACATGTCACCTTCCTTGGTTTTCTCCTTTTATTTCTTCCTTCTCTCCTTCCTTCCATCTTTTCTTTCCTTCCTTCCTTCCTTCCTTCCTTCCTTCCTTCCTTCCTTCCTTCCTTCCTTCCTTCCTTCCTTCCTTCCTTCCTTCCTTCTTTGACTCTCTTTCTTTCACACTTCCTTTCTTTCTTTTCTAACACTAACTTAGTAAATACTATGCATCAGAAACTATGCTACATTTTAAAACATCATCCAATTTTATTTTTACAACAATATTGGATAGGAATGTTTGATATTCCCATTTTATGGATGAACACACAGCCTGGGAAATTTGCACAAGGTCATCCAATCGGTAAGGGGCAGAGCCAGGTTTCACAGCCAAGCAATCTGACTCCCGCCCACACCCTCTTCATCACTAGACTAGACTACACTGCCTCCCTTGTGAACCACAGGGTCACATGGTGGGCAGACCAGAGTTGACAGAAGAAGAAAGGGTGGCTACAAAGTCAGCCAAGTGTGGATCAGGTAGCAATGGAAGGTGTAGACTAGCATAGTGATTAAGAACAAAGCTTTAGATTCAGACCAAACTCTTGGTTTGAATTCTGCCTTTTCCATAGACTAGCTGTGTGAACATGGCACGTTAATTAACCTCTCTGGGCTCTGGAATTCTCATCTCTACAGTGAAGATAATAGTACCTGTCTCAAGATGGCTTTGTCTGGTTTAACTGGGGAAATGGATACAAAGTATTACCCCATTATTGGGAACATAAGTAAAAGCTACTATGACAATAACATGTTAATTACTATTAACTAACTATAAATTACTATTAATAACCATTAATTACTATTAATCACTAGCATTAATCACCATTAATCTTATTTATTATTATTTGCCCTTAGAATTCTCAGTCCTAACAGCAGAAATCCTGAAGACAGAGAGCAAGGTAAGGTGTGTTTTCTCCCTTGTGACTTAGGTCGACAGCCCCCATCCTTGGAACTGAAGACTATTTATATGCTACTAAAAAAAAAAAAACCATTTAAACTATGCCGAATTTTGTCAACCCTAGGCTGGAAAACCAGCCTTCAGGAGGTGACTGTGTTTAAAGAAATGTTCTCAGAAATATGCACACGCCCCACTGAAGGGTCAATTATCTGAGTTCCTCCCCAGCTGATATCAAGTAGACAGTTCTTTCAGAATAAGGCAATTTGGCTACTAGACCACTGATGTTTGACCACGGGGCATCCACCTTCCCAAGCAGAGAAGTATTATACAAATAGGAAACACGTCCCAGCTCTCCGATTAATGCCTTTGTAGAAAATAGCATCTTAATAAATGCATTCTCCAAATGGAGCCACTTCCATTGCAAAGCCTGTCTTATCTATCCTGAGAGAAACGGGATGTTTTGGCTAGGCATAAACGACAGTGAGAGAATTTTCTAAATGCACATGTTTTCTTTGTGTCGGATGAGACGCATATTGGAGATCATTTCTGAGACCCCTTGGGGACAATAGCTCCTACATAAATGCTTCTCTCTGTCTGAAGAGATCAGAAGTCACGATACCTGTTTTACATTTGGACGTGTCCAGCTTCACTCCTTTCTTCCCCACTTCCTAGAGCTGTACAGTTGTATTTACAAAAAAAAAAAAAAAATTCGTTTGGGCATCAGGGTTGACCAGGAGACTATTTGAAATTAAAGCACGTTGCCAGTTTCCATTTTCTTCTCAAGCATTGATTTCTACTTCTGCTTTGTCTTTAAAAAAAAAAAAAAGTTCTGACTTAAGAAAACTTGATCTGTTTGGAAACAGGCTGGCCACAAGTATTCTTTCCTGTGCTCCTAGACAGAAGGAGGCGCAGAGGCGAGAGGGCCCAGAAGATTCCAGAGGGAAAATGGCAAGAGAGGGCAAAGGCACATGGGGCTTCTCCACGGGGGATGTTCAATAACTCTCTACGCCTTTATGCTGCAGGACAGGGGCTCATTTGCTCGATTTGGGGTGACAGCAGCCAGTTTTGTTACAGCATAGCTGGAGTTTGAAATAAGTGTAGCTCTCAGAGGCCGAAAGCAGCGTTCGTTATTGTAGCCATGGGAGGGCATGGAAATCAGAGGCGTTTTGGCAAAGGCAGCATAAATCCAGTGTTTGCAAGAGACCGACCCAGCCGGGGAGGAAGGAATGCACAGTTTCCCTTTGACGGTGAGATTTCCTGCTTCTTGTTGGAGAGCTTGTCTGAACTCAAAGCACAAGCAAAGTCTGCATCAATTACTTGAAAGGAAACCAACCCTATTCCTGAAGGTTTGGCAGCAGAAACATGCATTGTTGAGAAAGGGGAAGAGGAAAAAAAAAAGACTAATGAACTCCCCTCTCTTCGGTATTTTCAAAGGCCTCTTGTATTGGTAGCTGCTTTTTTTTTTTTTTTTTAACAGAGTTCTTAGGAACTCTCATTAGCCCCTCAATAAATGCTACTTTAAGGGCTTGTAACTTTGTCATTAAATCTTCACTCCAAGATGAATTAAGGTTGCAGCCAAGAAATGCCCCTCCCCAGCCCCAGCGAGCTTTTACACAATTACCAAAGAGGCAGGAAAATAGATTTGCGGGGGATTTTTAGTACTCGTGTACGTGCCTTCCTGTCAAATAGTGATTAATTCGGGGCCACTTAAGTTTTTCTAACTTTCATCCATAATGGGCACGTTGACATTTTTATTTGAATCTCTTTACGCCATCCAAAATAATCTCCTTCAGCAACAGAAACTGCTGGTTAATTGCCACAGAGCAGCTGTTACCTCTTCTCAGTCGACAGCCTCTTTCAAGACGGTTTTGAGCTTCGTGCCTTTGGAACGCCAGGGCCGGGGACAGCGTGTCAGGTGGATTGATTGAATGGCCCCCTTGTTCCCAACGAGCTGTGTCTACACTGGTTTCGGGGCCAAACAAAGCCCTTCGCATCTAAATATAGCATTTTCTTTGGCCCCAGGCCCTCACTGTCTTGTTTTTCCATTCTTCCACACTCTAAAACAAATCCGAGAGGGCCCCCTTTGAACATGACTTACTTCTACCCAGATTTGCATATTCCATGAGTCAGACTGGTCCTAAAAATACAAGTTCATGCACAATTAATCTGATTTTCTGGTTAATTGAAGGCTAACCAGAAAACGGCTTTGAAAAATCCATTCTTGTTGCAAAGTCTTCTGAAATCGCATTCAGAGCAGCAGAGCCGTGGGACTGTAAGAGGATTCTATGTCTGAGTGTGCAGCGGGGAGCGTCTAAAGATCTAGCCAACTTACCCGAACTTTCCGTCTTCTGCGTGACCCCATTCCATTTTTGAGCAACTTTTATGCTTGAGTATTCCCTTCTTGTATTTCCTGCTTTGATTATTAGTGGAGTAAAAATTTTTGTTAACTTGTTTTCTTGGTGACAGAGGAGTGAACCAGGCTTCAGTGTACCGGGTTAGCTACTGTCCTGTAGGAATCTTGGGGACAGAATAAGACAGGCTGAGTCTTCAGGAGCCAGGAAATATGTGTGGCCTCTCTAGACTTGTTTTCTTATAATCTGCTCCTTTCCAAGGGTGGGCTGAGTGAAACCGTTCCAGATATTTGCAATCCAGTGAGATGGGCTCCCATTAATCACATTTTTGCTATATTGAACTCTAAGGGTGGCCCTTATCGAATATTGGCATAACTTTTGGCAAAAAAAGAAAAGGAAAGGAGAGGAAAGAAAAACAACTAGTTTAAAATATTGTGTGTATTCTTTTCTGATTATAAAATTAATATGTGTTATAAGTTCAAACAATACAGAAAGGTGCAATATAGAGAGTAGAAGTCCTCTAAAGTCTACCCTGCAGGAATAGATATTTTACAATAGGAAATGTACCTGGCCCATGGCTATGTGGGCCTGAATCTAGTGAGATTACAGGCCAGGCTTGTACAGTTTAGGCTGTCAACCCCACCATCTGCTTACTTCATCTTCAAAGCATCGACAGAAAGTCCAATCAGCCTTCCAGCTCCTTCTGAAGTCCCAGCTGAGAAAAGTATTATTTGGGGACATCTAAGGATCATGATTGCCACCCACTCCACTGGGTCCATGGAGTTCTATCTTTGGATCAAGTTGAACACCAGAAACCTGCTCATTTGTGCTTTGTTTATTTAGGCCAACGGCAGGAGTGATACAGCACACATGTGGTCAATCATTTGCCCTCTGACTATGGGGCAGGCCTCTCTAAGCTAGTGTAGCCTCTTTTCCTGCTCAGCCTAGACGTGACCTTGAATCTCCTCAACACAGGGTTTTGCGACTCCACCACCTAGGCGACTAGAGTGGCCACTAGACAGGTGCCCATTCGCCTTGCTTTTTCACTCCAGCCCTGGTAATTCTGCAACTGTGTTTGCTCTCAAAGCTGATACTAAACTTCTGCTCTCATGTCTCCCTTATGAAGAGCCCTGTGTGTAAAATTTATTTAAAAAATGAAGCATCTGGAAAAGTTCTTCCTTCTGAAACACTGATGCTTGAGTAAAGTGAGGCTTTGTCATTAGTCACGACCCTCCTTTCGCTCTTGCTGCCAGGAGGCTCCGAGTCAATGGTAACAAACGTAAGGAGCCTCATGATTGCCCTCTTGGCAGCCTCCTTTGTTCTTGTCCAGAGTTTTTGTTTTTATCATTTGTGGTTTGGGTTGCAAACTGTCTTATGTCAAAGAGGTGAAGGTATAATTAAATAAATGAACGACAACAACAAAACAGTCATGCATCCAATCTGGTGTCTTATCAATGCAGGCCCCAGTCTGAGAGCGATTTTTGTTGTCTTTCGTGTTTAAAAACATATGCATGCCTTTGCACGCTATCTTAGAAGCGTGCTTGGCGCCAGGACAATGTCATTGGAGCTGGTAAAGGGAAATAAAACTGGGCTGATCGGTCTGGATACAGGAGATCTTTATTTTCAGCCTTTGGAGAATGTTGTTGTGGCCCCATTTTACAGACAAGGGAGGGAAGACTTGGCTTCCTGGGCCACCAGAGTGTGCCTGAGTGACGTGTCACTCCCAAGTCCTGCCTCCAGTCCCCTTTGGCGTGTAATCGTGTGCAACCTTTTCTATTCCAAAAGTGCTCCAGCACTCCCTGGCCATTCCAAATGCTACTGGTGAGCACACTTCATTTCTACTTTGTCTAGCAATCAGAATCGCTCTGACTTTGCAAAAGCATGAAATCTCCAAATGAAGGAACTTAAAGTACTTGGCTTCCAACCCCCCTCCCACACTCCCCCCAATATGGAGAAACAATCTGAATACACAAAATTAGAAAAACATACACAGAATGGTTGTTTAAAATTCACAGCTGTCAACAGCAAGTATTTTGTGTGAGAGAAAGAACCCAAGAAACATCGGGTTAACAAAATAGCTGCAGATGGATCGGTTCGCAGCAAGGACCGGGCTGGCATTGTCTGTGCTCTGTTTTGCAGAGTCTCATTTGCATCCCACGACAAAGGTTCGCTGTTGGAGACCCTTTCTCTCCATCCTCCTCCTCCAAAAGGCGCCTGGCCTTCCACAGGGAAGATAGCCGGTCTCCCTCCTCCCAACAGAAACCTACAGGAATGAACACAAATCTGTTATTTTAACACAACGTGGGCACAAAGTGGTGTTTTCATTCCGAATAAAGCTGGGGGAAGCTGAAGAATGGGGCCTTTTATTTGCAAGAGATACTCAAAGGAAGCAGGATTGAACTGTAGGCCAGCGAATATGAATAAAGTTGTTAGAGACTCTGCAGCAGTGGCCTGGGAGCTCAGGGTAAGTTCCCTGTCAGCTAGGGGCACTGTGCATCAGAATGCATAATTGCATCTGTTAATTACATTTTAGCCTAGTCCTCCAACATAGAATAAATTCATTTTCCTCCCACTTTTCCTACTGCCTCAGAAAGGAGACTTTTTTTTTTCAATTTAATAAACATGATTGACAACAGAAAATGCAGATTTA